AATGTCACTGACCGCTGACGAGCTATGCGGACGCGCCGCAAAGACAGCTTGCGTTTTATAAAATAAAAATAACATAAATCCGCGGAAGCGTGCGTACACTTGTCTCTGAGTAACCGTCCGTGCGAAAAGAGTGCATCGAATTTGATTTTAAATGTGTATAGTTTGGTCTGCATAGTGTCCGATTCGGAATGAAAATAATGTACATCCCCCATATTGTCCTACAAATGTTTCCAAGATCAAAAGCTCTTACCCTTTCGTAAGCCGATTTCCCATGTTTCTTAACACCATAACAATAGGCACCAGCTCTATGCGGTGCAGCAATCCTTCAAAGTCATGATTATTTAAGGGTCAGGCATCACTATCAAGGAACTAGATTCAATGTCATTGGAGGTGTATTACTTCGCGGCTCAAAAATCGGCGACTTGACGCTATGGGCTTATACCCGTCCCTAGTTGGCAGATCAGTCAATGTCCTGCACAACCATTATTTTCGATAGTCGCAACTGTAATGACCCCAACCCACTCCTCCCTCTCAAGGGCATTTTTTTGGAAAACTGGAAAATTTCAAGTAAGATGGTGGGAGCATAAGGGGAAAAGTCACCCCAAAGAAGGAATCATCACTACTTACCCTTCATTACCCCAATCATCCGAAACCAGGCTACTCTTCGACCGACTTTTTTCTCCGTGAGCAGAATTGGCTGAAAAGTTGTCCCCTAGGGTAGTTTGACCTTTTGAACACGAATATCCAGTCCGCTCAGCCCGAAAACTCCTGCCGGCCGCGCCACAGGTGCTGGCAATGTACTCGGAGACATAATCAAAACTTGTCCGTGTGGATAGCTTGCCCTCCCGAGCACGAATATACATCAGCCGTGGGGGGGGGGGTTGAGAATGTCCAGATGCAATGAAGATGATACAGCTGATAGCGCAATTTGCTTCTGCTCGATTGCACCCTTCCCCCGAGATAGTGATCCCTCCCTCTGCTAAGGCTGAATCTTAATAAAGGGAAGGATCACCACTGCAGGCTGCTTTTCTTCACTGTTCTCCTGAGTGCCTAGTACAAAAGCGACCGTAGTCTATGTCACACGCGCCAGACTCGAAGCAAGCATGCGATGAGAAGCATGCGACGTAGGAAACAACCTCAGATTTCGTTAGGAAACTACCTCAGATTTCGCCGCCGGTGTCTGTGTCCAGGCAGTTTCCGGGCCATGCTGTTATTCCTGCTCAGAAGGTCAAACTACCCCACGAGATGACTTTTAAGCCAAGTCTGTTCACTGAGAAAAACGTCGGTTAAAAAGTGGCTTGATTCCTTATGACTGGGGCAGTAAATGGCAAATAGTGCCGGAAATTGGAGTGGGTCTGTTTTAAAAAAGCTTTCCTTAGCGACAAGAAGCGCCCGTTTATATCAGGTCATGAACTTTCGTATGCTGTTCAAATCGATTTTGATGAAAAAGGTTGGTGGAGCCAAATTTCAATTGTAAAAGGAGATTCAGCTATTGCATAGCATTACAAGAGTTTACAGGTCTTTACAGGAGGAGTCACCAATAATCGCTAGAAATTAGGAAAACGCCCCCACGATACCAAACTGTACCCCCTTTTCGCTTCGCTAAACATGTTCTGCAATCACTAAAAAAGAAACTCACTTAACACATGAACTGGCTTGAGCACCACGCCAACATTTCGAAAGAACTTGCTCTTCGAATAGCTTTTCATACTGCGTAGTACATGCTTGAGCACCAGCTGCACAGTACGCTCCAATTATACTCATCTGAAGATTGCTGAAAATAAAAGGCTTGGCTTTACTGAACTATTCCTGGGAAGACGTGACTGAAAATTTGTTCACTGGGGTAACCCGACCACCTCAACACGAATATCACATTCGCGCGCCAAAACACTCTAAATCATAGAGTCAATGAAAATTTGTATATGGGGCGGGGGAGGGGGGTGTTTGACATCCTGATTACGAATTGACATTTATTCCTGGCGCCGATGCCAAAGTAGGACACTATGATGGCGCTCTTCGCCGACGACATTCTGCACTTTCGCACCTTCACAAGTTCCGGTTAACAAGCCTCACTACGATGAAACCTGTGAACTCTTGTGTAGCTGATTCGAGCTCGTCCAGCAAACATGATAAGGCCTGTCAACTCTCGTGAGGCTCTCTTGTCGCTGAGATGTGGCGAAAGTGCCAAATGCTCCACCCCCCTGTCGCCGAACTGTGCCTACTGTGATCGTTTGCGCTCTGCTGAGGCTGAGCCTAGCTTGAAGGGAATCACTCCTGCCAAGATCGGCCTGAGCAGAAGGCTAAATGGCGTTGGTGTCGAGAAATAAATGCCACAATTGGCGCCAGCGCCAAAAAGTAAACATCATATTTGTGACCAGGACATCGTACATCTATAGGCAGAGTTTCAGCGGAAAAAAATTTTGTTTGTTGAATTTGGGATAGGAATAGTTCAGTAGTGTCAGCTTTAGTTATAATGCAATAATCAAACTGTGACGTTACAAAATATCGAACAAGCAGTCAGAGAAGAGCAGTTACGAATTAGCTATGCAAAGTGGTAAAGGCTGACAATGAAAGGTCTGATGTGAAGCGTTATTAACAGGTTGGTGGTTATACTCTGCGAACCGCAGCCGGCTTTCTATTAAAAAATCAATAATAGGCGCACGTGATCCATCAGGCGTCGCGTTGCACTGCCTGTGCCAGTGAGAGTGCGCACATTTTCAATGAACGTGCTACATATCTGGATTTTAGGATTCATAACTATCAGTTGCAGATAACGTACCAGAAGTGAATTGATTTTTAGCCGCATCCCTTCTTTACCCTTTTAGCGGCAGACTTTGTAGGGGAGAGGGAAAAAAATCGTAATTTGCCGCGATCGCGTGCAATGTACCTGGGGATGAGTGCGGAAAATTTCCGTAGCGTCACGCACCGATGGGCGTGCCGAAGTATGCGTCAGTATCCCGATCGGAGCAGTGAAGCTAGAGAGTCGTAATCAATTTCTATTTTTCTTAGATAAATTGACAATGAGCCTTGCGACTGTTGCTAAATAAACAGCAGATAGTGCTAGAAATATAAAGGCATGAAGAACGGCTCACGGCTAACCCGCTCCAGCAACTCCCTCTGCCGTCCCTTTAATATTCAATTCGAACGGCTGGGCGGGAAAACTCGTCTCTCGTGGCGCGGCGTCGCTGGCCACGCCGGCTAGCGCGGCAAGTTACGATTCTCTTGTCACCCACCCGTGTCACTCTCGCACCCGCTTTGTGGTATTTGATGGAAGCGGTGTTATGTGCACACATAACACACTGGTCGTGGATTGTACTTCCGCAGTCGCTGCAACTACGGTGAAATAGGCGCTGAAAGGTAAGTGACGTACGGTGCAATCGCACGAGAACCTAAAGTAGCCGTGCTGCGGTGGCGTCGACTCTCCCTGCGTCTGCGTCTCTCACATCGGCTAGCTCTCTCTCCTCTCTCTCTCTCTTCTCTCTCTCTCTCTCTCTCTCTCTCTCTCTCTCTCTCTCTCTCTCTCTCTCTCACTAGGAAATACTAATGCGAAGTGCTAATGCGCGCGGTGTAGTGCCGCGAATCGGATCTAACGCTACACCCCGATCGCTCCCATCCGATGAATGAACGGGTTAAGATGTAGTGCACATCATCGCGTCGAGGTGGGTGTATCAGGGGGTCTGCTGATTGATTGTCAGCGTGATGGGAGCTATTGGTAGAACCAGAGAGGCCGGCGCTGACACGCCCCGACTCGGCGCAGCGATATGAACTTTAATCTTGCACGGCGTGGTTATGGACTTTCTAGTGAGCGTGTAGAAATAGACTTTCGCCCCTCTCTCTCCGATGTCCTGACTTCCACACGGCCCCATTCCGTCATCATAAACTGAGCCATATAAACCATAAACATGGATCCTGACAGGATTTATTTTTTTGGTGACGACATGTTCTTTCGAATGACAGTTGCATTTGTCTTGTTTCCATCTCTAATTCTTTGTACATGTGATTGAAGATGCCCATTCTCGCCTGCATACACTTCCGATGAACCGCGGGGTGTAGATGGAGAGTTCCGCACGTCCAGAGTCTGATGTCCCACAGCCAGTAGGCGTTCTCAAGCCTTAGGTGCCCACCGCAAAGTTGCCTGCCCCTGCAGCAGGGTACGCCATCGCGCTATGTGGAATACCTGCAGAACCCAAAGTCTTTCCTGCCCCTCCTTAAATAAAGGTCGGTCCCCTTTTCCTCGCCCCAAACAAAAGAAAAATGATGATATCAAGCCGGGTACATAAATTTTGAACGTGTGCGCATCCAGAAGTTGTACTCGAGTACGCATTTGCTGTTGCAGGGCACGCTGCTTCCAGATATCTCACAAAATGAGCTCAAATGCCAGCGGTGCCCTTCTTTTGAATATCCATAGCTTTCTTGCCAGTAGAGCTCTTACAGCGGGAACTTCTGTGAGCCTTCGTTATG